CCTTTTTTGAGACAGGGTCTCACTATGTAGTTGAAACTGACCTGGAACTCACTATGTAGCCCAGGCTGGCTTCGAACTCACAAGCTCTTTCTGCCTCACCCTCCCAAGTGCTGGATTACAGGCATGTGCCATCACACCCAGCCTGTTTCCAGTTTTTCCTTCTATTCTCTTGTCCCTTCTTTCCTTGCTCCCTCCCTTGTTCCCCTTCTCATCTGAACATTTTCTTCCCATTTAGAGTGATTTCTTAATATTCTGTTCCCTTTTACCTTATCTCTATCCTGCCTATAGGCTGCTCAGGAGTCACCACGCATGTACACTAAGGAGGAAGTGAGTTCCCACAGCAGCCCTGAGACTGGGATCTGGGTAACTCTGGGCTCTGAGGTCTTTGATGTTACAGAATTTGTGGATCTACATCCAGGAGGTCCCTCAAAGCTGTTGCTAGCAGCTGGGGGTCCTCTAGAACCTTTCTGGGCCCTCTATGCTGTTCACAACCAGCCTCATGTGCATGAGTTACTGACCAAGTACAAGATTGGGGAGCTGAACCCTGAGGACAATGTGTCCCCAACCTTGGAGACCTCTGATCCTTATGCTGATGATCCTAAGCGTCACCCAGCCCTGAAGGTCAACAGCCAATGCCCCTTTAATGCAGAGCCTCCCCCTGAGCTGCTGACGGAAAACTACATCACACCCAACCCTATCTTCTTCACCCGGAACCATCTGCCTGTACCTAACCTGGACCCAGATACCTATCGTTTACATGTAGCAGGGGCACCTGGATATCAGTCATTGTGCCTATCCCTGGATGACTTGTACAAGTTTCCCAAACATGAAATCACAGTCACTCTGCAGTGTGCCGGCAACCGGCGTTCTGAGATGACTCAGATCAAGGAAGTAAAAGGTCTGGAGTGGAGGATGGGGGCCATCAGCACTGCACGCTGGGCTGGGACACGGCTCTGTGATGTGTTAGCCCAGGCTGGTCACCAGCTGTCTGACACTGAGGCCCAGGTCTGCTTTGAAGGACTAGACTCTGACCCCACTGGGACTGCCTACGGAGCATCCATCCCTCTCGCTCGGGCCTTGGATCCTGAGGCTGAGGTCCTGCTGGCATATGAGATGAATGGGCAGCCTCTGCCTCGTGACCATGGCTTCCCTGTGCGGGTGGTGGTTCCTGGTGTGGTAGGTGCTCGCCATGTCAAATGGCTGGGCAGAGTGAGTGTGGAGGCAGAAGAAAGTTATAGCCACTGGCAGCGGCGGGATTATAAAGGCTTCTGTCCATCTGTGGACTGGGACACTGTAGATTTTGACTCAGCTCCATCTATTCAAGAACTCCCGGTCCAGTCAGCCATCACAGAGCCTCGGGATGGGGAGACGATAGAGTCGGGGGATGTGACTGTCAAGGGTTATGCATGGAGTGGTGGTGGCAGGGCGGTGATCCGGGTTGATGTGTCTCTGGATGGGGGGCTAACCTGGCAGGCAGCTGAGTTGGATGGAGAGGAACAGCGTCCCAGAAAGGCCTGGGCCTGGCGTCTGTGGCGGCTGCAAGCCCCTGTGCCCGCTGGGCAAAAGGAATTGAACATTATTTGTAAGGCTGTGGATGATAGCTACAATGTGCAGCCAGACACTGTGGCCCCAATCTGGAACCTGAGAGGTGTGCTCAGCAATGCCTGGCACCGTATCCATGTTCATGTTGTCCCGTGATAGTGTGGAATGAACCCTTCTATACCCTAGAACCACCAAACTCCACCCATCCTGTGGCCTCACTGTCACAAAAACCTTTCTCTGCTCTCCACTTCTTGGGTCACAACCCCACACTGTGCCTTTATGAGCCATACTCAGGGACACAGATTGCATTTCAACCCAGGCACCTTCTTTGACACTATGTTACATATCCCTCTTGGCCCCTGATCCTGTGCGGGAGGAGAGCTGTTGGAGCAAAGGGCTAGAGGTGGGCAGAGCAATTTCTGGAGACAAGCACTGTCTTTTTTTTCCATCCCAATTCACCTCTACTTCTGCCCATTGCCATCCTAGGCTTTATTTTGCTCTTCTCAAATTCTTCAGAGAATGTGTGTGGTATAAGAAAAATACTACTTTCCATTGCTTTGTGTTGCCAGGGGATTGTGAGGGACATCGAGGGCACAACCCTCTGTTTATAACTCTACTCTTTGTAAATGCATCAATAAAATTGACTTTGGCCTCTTGGGCCCCTGGAGTTTGCATGTTGCAAAAGGGAGTTTTCATTGGTACTGGGTCAGCTGAGATTAGCCCAAAGTCAATAAATGGGTGTTGGGGGTGCTGAGAGGAACAGTGACTTGGAAGTCAAGGAGTAGGACTTTCTTCTCTGAGGTCTGTCAGCACCTGCAGCCACTTAGGTGACTGACCTCACGAGATCACCAGAGATTTTTTAAAAAATTGGAACCCCCCCAAACCCGGGTCTCTCCAATTCCTAACTACTTGGCAGGAAAGGCTAAGAATGCTAAGAGGTTAAAATCAATATTGTCTTAGGAGTAGCAAGGACAACACTTGGCAAACGTGCCAGAGCACATGGACCGCCCGATGTATTCCTAGTTTGCAGATTTGATGTCTAGGCAGAGGTAGTCTAATGAGTTATCCTCAGGGGAGAACAGCGCCTTTTAGACGTGAATGTCTCGGCACTCGCCTACTCTCCCCTAGTTCCTCTTTTTTTTCCCCAGCAGTCTCTCCGGTTTGGGGAGGCGCTCGGTGTTCGGCCCTGCTGCCTGTCGCCTGGTAGTGGGACCGGAAGTTGTTGTGGAGGGGGGAGCAGCTTGA